CAAACAAACAAACAAACAAACAAACAAACAAACAAACAAACAAACAAACAAACAAGCAGACACACAAACAACAACAACAACCGAACTTCGACGTGCCAGTGTCCACTACGAAGGACGTAACTCCAGTCTCGCTATAGTCTGGCGCCCGCGCAACATTTTGTCTCCTTGCCCTTCATCTGGTCCCAAACACATTCAAATACACGTACATTCAAATGATTCGCTCTACCGTGACCTGAAGTTACAGCGGGAATGTCCTGTGTTAGGTACACACGTCTATGGTGTGACGTCACCTCAGATTCCATGGGTCCCACAGAATGACCGTTAGTTGGTACACATTCAGAGTGAATGATCTGAGACAGATAGACAGATAGACAGATAGACAGATAGACAGATAGACAGATAGACAGAAAGACAGACATATAGATAGACAGATAGACAGATAGACAGAAAGACAGTAAGACAGAAAGACAGACATATAGATAGACAGATAGATGCACAGGTAGATAGACAGCTAGACAGAAAGACAGACAGATAGATAGACAGCTAGACAGAAAGACAGACAGATAGATAGACAGCTAGACAGATAGACAGACATATAGATAGACAGATGGACAGAAAGACAGACAGGTAGATAGACAGATGGACGACAGATAGATAGACAAGAGTATCTCTACCGTAGTATTGCAAAGTTCTATTTGTCAAATGCCTCGTTTTGAGAAATTTGATATGGAATTCTTTAAAAGGTTTCACAACTTGTCAAACTCTTTCGAAGGCAGTTGTATGAATATCTTGATAACGACTCCGAATATTCTTACGATTTTTATAGAGCAGACAGAACATTTGGTTCTTTACCTCATGGTCTTAGAAACTCAAAACGGCCAAAATGTCATCAGAACTTCGCAATTATAAAGTGGTGATATGTATATACATACAAAGATATAGAGAGATAAAGATATAGAGGGACGGGAAGAAATATATTGCCTCTAGAACCACCCAAAATCTCGAACATCCCCCCCCCCAATCCCAATAAAAAACAAACAGCAAAAA